TTACAGGATCAGGTCCACATCAGAACCAAGTGTTATGAACTTGTGAAGAAACTCAAGAATTTGAGGTATATTAGAATATTTAGATAAAACATTGGATGGTAGAAAGCAGTGAATATTACACAAACAACAACCAAATAACAATTACCATTTCTCTAGGTTTCTCTAGGTTATTCTATTTTAGGAGTTTCAAAAAGCACCTTTGGTAACATGTAAGGTGTATCTTTGAGAATTTCTTTCTCATCGTTAATTTAAGATTGATTATGTTTCCTGCAATCCTCTGGTGTTTACATAGAGTTACATAGAATTTTATTTGCGCCAGGCCACCAATCTTCCATATGAATTGGTCTTTCACCTTCATAAATGCTTTGGGGAATTTATTGGCTGGTGAGATATTTTAACATAGCGAAGTTATATCAAATACCAGTATTTTTTGTTGAATCGTTCCCCAATTGTTACTCGATCACCTCTCTCATGCTCTATGACCTACTATCCCCCTACCTACCTGCCCGTACCCTCCGTTCCTATGGCTCCGGTCTGCTCCACATCCCCCGCCATAACCGCCCTACCATCGGTGGCCGGGCCTTCAGCCTCTCAGCCCCTAGGCTCTGGAACTCTATCCCCCAGTTCCTTCGCCGCCTCCTCCCTTTCCTCCTTCAAGGCCAGTCTCAAGACCTTTTTCTTTGACCGTGCCTTCAGCTCCCCTCTCGACTCTCTACCCCCTCCTCGCTCCCTCCCTTCCCACCCCTCACGCTGACCATTTCCCCCCTGCTCAGGTCCTGACCCAACTGTACAGCGTCCTCCCGACGTGAAAGGCGCTCTATAAATGGAATCGTGTTGTTGTTGTTGTTGTATGCACTTTAGCAATTTGCCCATTTCTTAAAAATGTAAGAAAGCAAAGACTAAAAGCCATTCAGCACATCAACACTGCTCTTTCTAGAGACCTGTTAACCTATCGTGGAATTCACTGCATTCACTCTATCTCCTTGCGAAAATATTGTACAGATATTACCAGAACCCCAAAGCTAATCAAGCAACATCTCCAGAAGAATCTGTTGCTGATTTTACCACATTTTAGCATTCTTTTTGTATGTACACTTTTCGTAAAGCTCCTGAACAGATTGTCCTTGTAAAGCTTTATCAGAACCTTCATTCACCTGTCAGCCTGACAAGGAATTCTGTCGTCAACGTCAACAATGGAAACCACAAAATTCTTTGATAAATGTCACTAAAATGAATGCTACAGACCCCATATGTAATACCTCTGTATAATACATGCCAAAAGTGAGCCAAATATTAACAAATGTTGTCAAATTCTTTCAATACGAGATCTCGAAAGATCAAAGTTTTAACATATCATGATAAATACCAAATGTGCAGCAATGCCCTGCTTGAGCTATAACTCTACATGTATCTACTTTCAGCCACCTCACTTTCTTTCCTGCTTATCCTATAACAATTGTGGCAGGCACCCTACGGTCACCGCAAGCTGGTCAATGCCGTTGATGCAGATCTACAGCTTTTGCAGATTTCTATGGCACATACTTGGAAAATTATCTGATTGGCTTGATATTTAAATAATGTATTACAATAAAACCCACTATTTTCACACTGTTATCGGGATATGGTGACAATTAAGGATTTAGATTTGGAATTGCTCAGTGCACCTGTTGAATGTTTTTTCTATATGTGACTGTCTTATGAAAGAGGGTCATGTCTATGCTTGTAATACCACAGTTGTGTAATTATAGAATGTGTTGTGGCTGGCCCAATGAAGTCATTCATGTTCTGTAATTAGTTCTGACCTACCCAGATTGAATAACTAGAAGCAGGCATTTTCGTCCACTGAAATCCCTCACACAGTAAAATCCTGAAAGTAATATTGTCTGCAACTAGTGCTTGAAACTTACTGAGGAAACCTTAACAAAACATGAGTGGAACGTTAATCAGAGTTCAGTCAGAGTGTGCTTTCACCGAAACTGCTTCAATAAATGTGTAAAATAGAAGACTTTTGATTTGAGAAAATATCTGTGCAGTATAGAGTTGTTAAGCTGATGCACCATCAACAGCTATTTAACTGAGGAGTATTGCCAAACATGTCTCTGTCAAATGTAATAGTTACAGCAAAAAAATGTTTTTGAATCATTGTGAGCTCCAATGATTGCTTTGTGAACCCCATTTAATTAATAATACGAATCCTTATATTTGATATCGCGTCTCTCTCGCCCGGAGGATATCTCAAAATGCTTCACAGGATTCACCAATAAGTATAATGACTGTGTATTTATGTACAGTAGATGAACAACAACTGTACAGAAATTTATATTTTACAACAGCAATTTACATTTACATAGGGTGCTTCATGTAGGATAATTTCTCAGACCTTATCACAAGCACAAGGAGGTGGATGAAGGTGAAATGATTCAGGAAGATGGAGTGGTCAACTGTGTCAAAAATGGCAGAGAGGTCAAGGAGACAAAAAGAGCCCTGGTCACAGAGAGGAGTGTATGAAACGGCCTTGTGATTTTGACGAATGCTGTCTCAGTGCTGTTGAAGGGTGGAAGCTGGACTGGGGGAGCTCGAGCAAGGAATGGAGGGAAAGGTAGGAGTAAGGATAAGTGCCAACAATGCATTCGGGGCTTTGGATAGGAAGGGCAAGATGGAGATGGGCTAGCAGTTGGGGAGTTTGGAGTGACTGAGGTTAGTATTTTTGAGGAAGGTGATAACAGTTGTTTTGAAGGGCAGTGGGAAAAGGGACAGGTTGACGATATGTGCCAGCAGTGATCAAAGGTGGGTGATTGGGTGCTCAGCAAATGGGTGGGGAGAGAGTCAAGAGAGCGAGTAGAAGGTTTCATATCGGTTATGAATGGGAGAATATCAACAAGGGATAAATATGGGCAAATGTGTGCAAGATAAGACCATGAGGCATGGGGGGGGAGAGGGGAGGGTGGAGGGAGGGGAGGAAGAAAAAAATGCAACCAGATGGATTTTAGCAATTTTATTGATTCAATTTTATCTATTCTTTTGAAAGATTCAATAAAACAAATATCAAATTTGAATTATAGTCCCAATCGGCATTTTTTTTATAATTACCTCGATCTTTATCATTTGGCCCCATTAACATGAACACGTTGAAGATGTCTAATTTATTGTACCACATTGAATAAACCATTCCGTGGCAATCATTCAGTTTGCATGTTTTTCTTCCCTCCCTGCAGCATTTCGTTTTAGTAACTGATTCCTACAAAGATTAATTTGACATGCTATATAGGTCTGGAGATTCTTATATTCAAGCCAAATAACTCAACAGTAAGATTCAGCAACAGCATGTAAATCTACAGTATACTGTATGACTTTTTAAATTGACTTATTGTTTGACAAATAATTAACCTTATTATTTCAAGCCAATGTAATTTATGAGGCATAATTCAGTCACAAAGCTTATAAAAAAAATCAAGCCACATCAGCAGCAAATTCAAGAAAAATAGTCAGTTAATAAGGTAAATGGAAAAATGTCCCAATTGATAAATACCTGCAATAAAAATAATTAATCCTGGTATTTGATCTAACAACTTTCATGTCATGAGGATGGCTCAAAGAAAATTTAACAGGATTTAATGTAAAGTGTAGTGATTGTATTTTAAAGGCAAAGATGACAGACAATTTGCACACAGTAATGTCCCACAAACAACCATGAAGTGAATAATCCATTTTATCGGGAGGATTGTTAGCCAGGCCTCTGAGAGAAACCGCCTTCTCTTTCCGAATAGTGACATGGTATCTTTAATGTCCACCAGAACAGGTAGACAGGACCTTAGTTTAACAGCTCTTCAGAAGGACAGCACCTCCAAAAATGCAGCAGATCCCCAGCACTGCATTTGACTGTCAGTCTAGATTGCAGGAGTTCAAAGTCTTGACTGGGAGGGAAGGGGAGGGCACTTGAACCCACAACCTTTTGACGCAGCCTGTGTTTTACCTTTATTAAGAAGTGAGGTGGGTGGTTCTTGGGCTTTCAAAAAAACAATTCAACAATCTTTCTTAAATAAGGAATGTAATGTTACACTCACAACATTTTACAAATTGGTACTTTACTCTGTATCATGAGAAAATGTCAACGACTACAATGATTAACTATGCTTTTTTAGTGACAAGCAATACTGCCTTTGGGGTCAGCCTGACTCAGTTAGTGGCACTCTTGCTGTGAGTCAGAGCTTATGGCTTCGAGTCCCGCATCAATATTTAAGATCCCAATCTAAGCTGATTCTCCAATTCAATAGTTTCGTAATGGGGGAGCACTGCATTGCTTGAGTGTTGTCCGTAAACCAAGGTCACATCTCTCTGTTTAAGTAGACAAAAGATCCTGTGACATATTCAAAAGAAGAAGGGAGTTCTTCCTGGTGTCCTGGCTAACAGTACCCCAGATAAAATTGGTCATTCACTTCATCGCTATATGAAATGCAAGAATTATTATACATGCAAGAGATAATTACCTTGGTAACAATTTAAACTTCAATAAGTTTATTAAGATGCCACAGCTATCGCAGCACACAATTGTTATGTGTTCAACACAAAGATAGCTAATTTGGAGCCTCCAGTGACTGAATGTTAATCAAATACACTGTTGTGGCTATTGCGATTTAAATTGCAAGTGTGTGCACTCACACAAATAGGTAGTAATGAATCATTAAAGGCTTTTTTAAAAAAGCACCTGAACAGAAGTTTATGATGAGGCTGAACCTCGGGTCGTTTTCCTTTTTAACAAAGTTTTTAAAAAAAGGCCCATAAAGAGATGATGTACAACGTTAACAAACAAAGTAAACTTTAACACAAAGGCATTATATTGCAGTAACAACGTTGCAGTTTCACTCATGATACAATTACAATATTAATACTACATAGGAAAAATTGACTCATTCTAGAAGAAAAATAGGGTACTGTTTTTAGAAACTTAAGTCACGTGATGAGGTGATTTTTTTTGCTCAGTTTGTTAAGATGCAGCATCTGTATGACTGGGAAAGGATATTGGTGACTAGAAGCTGGAGTGATGTGATACGATAAGGTAGGTTAGGGGAATTTTTCGGTCTCCAGTGGGCAAGACAACCTTAGCACAAGCCTGTGTGTAGGTGTAAACATCAGACACATTTCATTGATGTGTTTAAATTTCTAACGTTTCAAATTATCCCAGATAACATAACATAAACTGGTATTCAGCATTGCTGGAGAAGTGCCTGAAATGTTATTTTATTTAGCAAAGATTAATGTTTGCTTAACCTTTGGACTGTTAGTTTCATGTATCTACAAGGCGATTCAATAATATTTTTAAGACTGCCAGCAACCTAAAGGTTAAAACAACCATATTTGATTTACCTTTGCTACTCAGTTTAAGTGCATTTCAAAACTTATAAAAATCAAATCTTCTTGAGCAACGCTGATTTTAGTTGAAATATCCATGTAATTATCTGAACTGTTCTTTCTCACTAGCTACCATTCCCAGCATTTCTTTGTAATAATTCCAATACAATGCACAAAACAAGCTGAAAAAAGCTTTTGTTGTATTTATAGCATATCAAAATGTTGCAAAGCACTTAACAAGTAATTACTATTAAGTTTAGTAACTATTTTTGAGGGCACACATAATTATTATTTGTTCCAGCAAGATCCCGAAAACCAGCTGTGAGAATTAATCTGGAGGATTGTTGGCCAGACATCTGGAAAAATTCTTTCTTTTTTTGAATGTTGTGGGATCATTAATATTCACCTGAACAGGCAGAAAGTTTATCATCTCATCTTGTAATGCAACATCTCACAGGACTGCATGCAGTGTGAGCCTAGCTGTGGGGCTTTGAATCCACTACCTTCTGACCAAGAGAGTCAAGAAGGTTACAAACTAAGCCACACTGGCATTTAGTTTCAACAACAACAACAAAATTACATTTATACAGCGCCTTTCACATCGGGAGGACGTCCCAAGGCGCTTGACAGACAGAGTTACGGACCCAAGCTGAGGGTCGGGTTGAGGGAGAGGGGAGGGCAGGGGGGGAAGCAGAGAGATCGAAAGCACGGGCGAAGAGAAGGGTCTTTGAGCTGGATCTTGAAGCTGGTGAGGGAGGGATGTCGAGACTGTGGGATGGAGTTCCAGATGGTGGGTTCAGACTGGTGGAAAGCCCACCCACCAATAGTGGGGCGAGCAATGCAGGGACGTGAAGCAGGCCAGAATCCGCTGAGCGGAGGGAGCGAACAGGGTGATAGGGGGTTAGGAGGTCGGAGAGGTAAGGGGGAGCAAGACCGTGGAGGGCTTTGAAAGTGAGGACTAGGATCTTGAACTGTATCCTCTGTGTGATGGGAAGCCAGTGGAGTTGGGCAAGGAAAGGAGAGCCTCGGTCTTGTTGATGTTCAACTGAAGAAAGTTAGCTCTTATCCAGAATTTGATGTCTGACACCATGTCCTCGGATGATGTCACCAAGAGGGAGCATATAGATGTTGAAGAGGAGGGGACCACGGACAGAGCCCTGAGGAACGCCGCACAAGATGGTGCAGGGACTAGAGAAGAAGCCATTTGAGAAGATGAAGTGCAGGCGGTGTGAGAGATACGATCTGAACCAACCAAGGACATCGCCGTGGAGGTTGAGGTGAAAGGAGAGGCGGTGGATGAGGATAGAGTGGTCGACGGTGTCGAAGGCAGCAGGAGGTCAAGGAGGATGAGGAGGCAGAGGGAGCCTTGGTCGCAGATGGACAGAATGTCACTTTGACCAGGGCGGTTTCTGTGCTGTGGGTGACATGGAAGCCCAATTGGAGGGGTTCGAGAAGGGAGTGGCGAGCGAGGAAGGAACGAAGCTGAGATGTAACCTTGGAGAGGAAGAGGAGGTTGGAGATGGGGCGGTAGTTAGGGGGTAGAGAAGGGTCAAGGGAGAATTTTTTAAGAATAGGAATGATGACAGCAGTTTTTAAAGGGGTGGGAACAGTATCAGAGCCAGGGAGAGGTTAACAATTTCAAATGCTCTACTTGTGTTAAATGCTCTCTTAACTGCTCTGTTTATCATAAAAAACCTAGTTCCATTGAGTCAAAATGAATTTAATTCACAATGGATTCTTCAGCCCAATCTGAGCACCGTGTTGAGGCACGATATTACAATGTGACATTTATGTGATGGTGCAGAGTGAAGCTGAATCTAGAAACAACGTTTATTCACATGAGAGATGGGCAAGAAGTTGCTGATTAGTAATTCTGAATGATCCAGTAGTTGTATCTGCTAAAAATAAGGAATTGCATTATATTGATCACAACAGGAGTTTAGATGAAGAAGGCAATTAGGCCCATTCTTCCAGAATATGCACTGCTGATGACCGCACAGCCAATCTGGCTCATCATCAGGACTTGGAAGGGCAGACCAGTCACTGGGGGCAGGGAATCCTCCCACTCAGCTCCTTTTATCACGGGAACTCACCAGCACACAATGTTGTGCCTCTCTTTCGTGTGGGTTAAGATTTTGTAAATCCTCAACATTGTGTTAGAATGAGGTTACAAAACTTTGACGTCAGGATAGTGGTTCTGAAGTTGCTGGGAATAATTCTCCCAGCTTTCTTGAAAATTGGTATCACATTTGCTTGGTTCCTTCTGCTGAAGCCTCAACAATAGCAATTGACTCCTTCATAATATCTCAGTACTTCACAAATCTCCTGCTGTTTTTCTTTCCATCAGTTCATCCATGCTAGGGGATTTGTTGATCTTCAGCCCCTCAAGGCTATTTAGAACCTCACTTATTTCAAAGTCCTGGAATACAGACAATGTTGCTGGATATTGGAGGCATGTTTTTAGTGCATTCCCTGGTAAAAAAAAACACACCTCCAGGAAGTAGTCATTTCATATGTTTACTATCTCCTATTCATCCTTTTTTTTCATACCCCTTTGGGTTCCTTAGGGTTTTAATGTCTTTTCTAACTACCCTCTAAGTATTATAATATTAAAAGAATATTTTGGCAATACTTTTTACATTTCCTGCTGTATTCCTTTCAGTTCTCTTTTGGCTCTTCTAATTCATTTTTTCCTTTTTCTTTTTACAATCTTGTACTCAGCCCAATGGTCATTTATTTTCTTTTTCCCTAACAAGCTTTGTAAATTCCTTTATTTTTTGTGATTGCCATTTTTATTTTCCCTCTTGATTAATTTTGAAGCATTTTTGTTTAATAATAATCCTTGCATTTGATATAGCGCTTTTCATGTCTTCGAGACATCTCAAAGAGCTTCACAGAACGTACTGTAGAGTGAATTGACTGTATATTTGTGGGCGAAATGCAGCAGCCAATTGTGCACAGCAGTGTCCCACAAACAGTCGTGGATTGAAGTGACCAATTTATTATTGTTTTTTTTTCTTGAGGGATTATTATTAGGCGTGTGGAGTAAGGAAACTTGCCCAAGGTTTCGCCCTGCCTGGAATTGAACCCAGTGGCTCGCTTCAAGGCGAGTGCTCTAACCACTGAGCTACAGGACTCCACTAATCTGCCACTACTGCACTTGGGTACATACTGTACTTGTCCTGCAGGTATTACATATTGTTTTTTAAGGCATTTATCTTTGGCTGATTTGTTCTTGTATAATGCCTTGTAGGTCAAGGTCACTTAGCTGAGCCCTCACAGCTCTCAGGTTTGCCTTTCTAAAGTTATATACTAAAGTTTGGGCTGCATACAATTTCCCAAGAGAAATTGAATGTTATTGAGCTAAGGTCAACTAATCCTACTGAATAGTGTCTGGGTCACTGACTAAAATTAACTCGGGAGGGGAACAGCCTTTGTCAGCTGGTGTATTGAATAAGGAAGCAGTCTTGTACTACATTGACAAGCTCCAGGTCCTTCTCATTTGGGCATTCCAGTTTATGTTGGGTCCTCCATCAGTACTACAGTACCTTCGTTTTCTTACATTTACTCCTCATCTATCTTCTTCCATTATATACTAATAAAATGACAATGTCTGTCTGCACTTCAAGAAGGATCTCAATAATCGATTGATGAAGAGACATGATTTATACCTCATCGGAAAGGTCTTGCATCTGAGAGTGACATGGGCATACTTGTTTTTGGGTATCTCCTATCATTCATGATCTATTTTCAGTTTCGCATTTTTTGCTGCAGTTACACTTGGTAGCCGCTGAGTCAAAATGGCGCTGTGGCATCGTGTGTCACAGAGCACTCATGTAGCCAAGCAGTGGGAACAAAATAACGAACACAGACGAAGCTAAGTCGCGGCAACAACAAAATTACATTTTTAAAGCACCGAGTCCTCCCACTGAGTCCTCGCAAAAGGAATCCTCCCACAAGGGTCTTCCCAAATGAGTATAGATAAAGATAGAATGTCAGTCTGTGTGTCTGTCTGTGTGTCAATCTACATTCATATTGGATCCTTTGGTTGCAAGCGAAGCTGCAACGGGCACAGCTTGTACACGTTATCATAAAGTAATAAGGCTTTCTCCGTCCTTTGGCCTGTAGTTGAACATCTAACCCAAGATTTTGATAATCATCCCATCAATGCTGACATGCTACTCTAAACTACTTCTGCAATCTACAACACAACACCTCTGTATTGAAATACGAGCAGAACATCAAACTGTACTTTCTCCAACAACAGCTCCTGAAATCATATTCTTTATCTCACAGAAAGCAGTGTGTTAGGCGACGACTGTTGCAGACAGAAAAGGCCTGCAGCTTTGTGGGAGTGATTGTCAGAGATTCACAGGTGAATTGTTCAACATCTCTGACAATTATAATTATTATTAAACCCATTTTTATTTCCATCCTATACAATGCGCACAAAACTAAAAGAATGGATTTTGTAAATATCAGTAGAAAATGATTTCAAATGATGTCATCTCAGGTTTTCAGAAACTTTGTTCTTTTGTTCTTTGGTTTATGGTAACATCAGTCACTCAGGTTAGATTACAGTCTTGAAATCACTCCCAGGTATCCAGTCTAACTAGAGAAGCCATGTTGCATTCAGCTTTTATATATTGATATTTTTTCCTCATTGCAGTTTGCCCTCAATTGACCTTTTTCCCATATTAGCCTTAG